GACAAAAAAATCTCTTCCGGGCGGAAGAGGCGACTGTTTTCTTTTCGTTTAATTTGACTTTAGAATGAGAGTCGAGAAGTCATTAAATTTTTTAAAAACTTTAAACTCTGCACTGAACGAACCCGAACAGATGATGAACAGTTGAGCAGTCGATCTGCGCACGCAAGGAGGTGCTATTCCTATTCTCCTTCTGGAGAAACGAAAGAGAGCTTCAAAGCAGACTTTTTTGGCTGAGTGGACCATATTGTTATGTACAATCTTTGCCATAACGCCGTCAGTATCGGTTTGGAAAATTTTGTTCTTGTGGCATAAAACACTACTTTTGTCTGAAGCAAACTATAGCCTAATTGGAAGAGTAACTATTTTTTCGTTTGGAACAGACTATGACGAGAAGTGCAAGCCCAAATTTAGAACAGAGAAAGCTATATTCGTGAACCATCTGGGGGGGGGGGGGGTGCGAAATCTGAACGGCTCCTTTCTTCGCTTTTCGTTTACTCTCTGACTCTGTATAGAGACCTTTTTCCACAGAGTATTGCATAAAACTATGACATACAGGGTGATCCAAAAAAACAACTGTAGAACTTTTTTTCTAAAAATCTCGCACAAAATTTGTACTAGAATATTGTAATTTGGAACATATATTATAATCATTCAAAATGAATTTGTTTGACATAGAATTACAAAAGAAGAAACATATTTTCGAAAACAGAAATGGCTTTTATAAAAACCACCTATAAATGCAATTGCACCAACTTAAAAGACCTTGTAAGGAAAGTCATGAAATGATTGTTTTGTTTTTTCCGTTCGTTTTATTTTTAAAATCTAATCTTTCCATCCCTGTAACCTTTAAACGATATTTCTTTTCTCCTACAGAGTTAATTTTTTTTAAATTCTGGAATTCCGAGAACCACTGGTCTCTATGTCCTCCTTTGGACTCGACACAGTTTAACGCATCGTTCGTAATGTTCAACCATGAGTACTCAAGGCCACACACACTGTACACAGTATAGAGCTGTTTCTAGAGATAATAAGGCAGGGGGTGAGGTTGCCCAAATTGACAGCATTTGTTGAGTTGATATAGCGTGGAAGGTGAATAATGGGCTTTGCCAAGGAACAAACGTCTTAGAGGAAATGTTCAAGCTTTTCAAGACAATCGAGGAATCATGAATACATTGCTATCCTCTGATAATTTCGAAAACAGGAAAATGGTACAACTGTAGATGAAGATCTGCCTTCAGAATGTGGACCGTTGAGAAGTAGGAAAGTCATTGTTGCAGACATCGTCAATGGACAGACGTCTCACGGGGCTCATCTTAAGAATTCTGCACCCTGGTGACATTAAAAGGGGTGCGAACGGTGTGTGTTTGACCTGAATTGGTCGTTGTATATGGGAATTTTTGTTCAGGTCATAACTGTTGGACCATTCCTACCCCTGATATCAAAGAAGGCCTCAAGTGTACCTAAACTTAAATATTATTTCCGTACCTTGTACTAAACTTACGAAATGAGTTGGTGGTGAGGAAATGTTCAATAAACAAAGCTCTCTGCTCTTTACTAATCTTAACAATGATCTCAGCAAGCAAAAGAAACTTGAAAAGAAACGTCTGCAAACTTCTGTTGACCTGTTAGACTACTGTAGTTTGCAATAGGGCGCAATTGTTGGGATTTTTAGTGGTAGACCTAATGCGAACTACTGCGTCATGCTACAAAAATGGGGACCTAGCTGAAAAAGGGTTGTTTTTTTACGCGCTATGTAGAGCAAAACTATTCTGTGGATTCATCTGAAATGAATATCAGACACATTGATTATGACTTCTTAATGTTGTGTAAAAATTTGAAGAGCAAAACTTCAGTGTGAAGGAAAATATTAACAAAAAACATTGGACAGGTTTGTTTTTTTTATCACCTCGTATTTTGCTTTCAAATTTTCAATACATACAAAGGAAGGTTTGAATAAAAGGTGTACTAAATGTGGGTAGGGTACGTTATTTTTTTTTTTTTTTTAATTTTCAAAAAGCGGAAAAAATCAATAGGGAGAGCTGACAACCCTGGCGCGTGGGCCGAGGGTTGAGTCAGATGAACGACAAAACAGAACATATTCCGTCTTCAAGGGTTGTTGATTGACCAGAAAGTGCGTCTTCAAAGAAAAGTACTGATTTCTCCTCGTTTTAGTATGCGCTTTACAGCCCGAGCAACACGTGTGTGGGTGTGTGTGTGTGTGTGTGTGTGTGTGTGTGT